AGAGAGAGAGAGAGAGAGAGAGAGAGAGAAAGAGAGAATTGACATCATAAAGAAATTCACAGAGGCAGAAGAACTCAGAACACAAACTTATAGGTACCTTTTCAGACTAAGCTTTTATTTTTTTGATATTACAAACCAGTTTTCTTTATTCACAAACCACTGTAAGTGATATAAACACTAATTTCTAAAGACAGATATACACATTTCTGGGTTTGCAGATTGAGTGATGTGTGTTAAGAAGTCACTATATGCCACATTAATCTTTTTTCATAATTCATAATAGCAATAGTTATTTAGATAAATGAAAACATTCCAAATAAATACTGTTGTTTTTTAAAAAATCCAAAATGTTTGTTTACACTTCTGACATGACATTTTAAAACGACTTATCGGCAGCTCAGCGGAGTGCCTAGACAAAAGATTCTGCGACATCGGTTGGCACCCACTTGCTCTAAATGATTTTATTAAAACTACATACAGTCGTGGGGGAAAGTACATTTCATTGATGAAAATCAAAACTGCAAATGAGTTTTACTTTAGCCAGCACAGTAAGAATTCCATGTTTGTGATTTCATACACAACACAGGTTCTGGGCTTGGAAAGCTGGGGCGACTGAGGAATCTGTTGATCCTTCTGCAGCCCCTTATCTATCACTGTCTATCCCATCTGGGGTCAAATGCTACAACATCATAATAAATGCTTGCCTTGGACAACATCAACCAGGTGCACACATGGCCATCCCACTGTAGCAGGTGGGGAATGAGAATTTCCGAGTGATGCTGCCAAACAGTCTCTCCCCACTTAGAATGAAGGAAAAAGACCAATCTCTAGGCTTTTCTCTTCTCAGCAATTCAGCAGTTTCTCTCCCTTCCCCTCCTCGCCCTTTCCTTTTCTTTCTCTCCCAAACCATGACCATCATCTGCCTTAGATATCGAAGCTACAGAAACTTTGTTTTCAAATCTCATGAAACTTTATTGATGGTTTAATATCCAACCGATCTTACGGGCATGCACGTAGGATGACTAGGAAAAGCTGGATCACAAACACTTTTTTTTTTCTTTTTAAAGTTTTGTTTGGTTTTGATTTTAAAGCAGTTGTTACAGCGGATTGGCAGGTTCACAGCGTGAGTTGATAACTTACTAAAGTGCGCGCCGTGGGGCCTGCACTGCACACACAGGCAGCAACGCTACTCAGGGGGACAGCTTGCTGATATTTTATAATTTAAATACAAAAACAGGAAGACCCATGACAGATACCCCAACTTAGGTTAACTTGTAAACAGGACAACATGGGGGCGGGGGGGATTCAAACAGAAGAAAACCACAAGCTGCAATTTTTCGGCTGTGTTGCTCTGGCCCTGCATCCAAGAAAGAATGGGACAGACACTGTTCTCTGGCGGTGGGGGAGGTTCTAGTGTCGTTTTTAGTCTTGTTTTCCTTTCCTTCTGACAATCCTCTTGGGCCTCGGAGACAGAAGTAAAGATACCAGTTTCAGATAACCCTGGGGCACTGGGGAGAGGGGAGGGCAGGCTCTTCACAGACTGAAAAATTGCAAGTTGCTCACTGCGCAGTCATGTTTTCAAAAAGTATCAAGCTGATGAAAATACCGTGATTATCTCTATTCAATGATTGCGATACTTGTAAAATGCAACTATAAATCCAGATATGATTATCATGTAATTCCATAAAAATTATACGTCTGTCTCTAACAGTTAATCTACTAAGCTAAAACTAAAGCCTCAGAGACTGTTTCTAGAACATAACTCCACTGCACAGATGTAAATTTTATACATATTTTAACTGGTACAAAGAATTTAAGTTTTTATTACTTTCTTTTTTTTGGAAAAAAAGAAAAAAATAGAAACAGTGCTTTTTATCACCTTTTTATTAATGTTAATTTTCCCTCCCATAATATAAAAGTCAGCAGTGATATCAATAATTTCTCATACTGGAAGAAATATAAAAAGAATGCTTATTGATGGCCTAACTAGTAGTCTTTGCTTAAATAACTAGTGGGTAGGTAAGAAGCTGAGTAGTGCGGGTGGAATGATAAGAGGGTGGACTTACACAGCTTCCTTCAACTCCAATCTCAGTGCCAGAAGCAGCAGTTTCTTAACAGAGCCTTTGGCTTGACTTTGCCAGGAGTAACTTAGAACCATAGATTTATGATCGTTGGTGCAGTGGGTCATTTAGATTCATCAGTTACTATATATATATATATATATTTTTTTTTTCTTTCAGCCAAACCCTAGTCCCAAACCCCTAAGTCCCTCCCGGCCTCCCCTTCACAGAATAAAATAATATAGATGCAGAAAGAATGACTTGTCACCTAGACTCCTCCCAAACACCTTAACCCCAGTAACCTCATGTTCAGCATATAATTCATTTACATAATATAGCACTCTGGATATGGCCCTAAAGCGGTTTGTATTCATATGTAGCCTCTCTCTAGATCAACCACAAAAACTCCTACAGCCAGCAACTGAACTACGAGAACCTTCAGAAACCAAAGACCCACAATATTAAAATACACAGAACAAAATATCTGAGGTATAAGATAAAAAATGTAATTTTTTTTTCCTCTTTTTAATTTGTTGTTTTCTTTGAGTTGCTAAAATGATGTCCTACTGCATGTGTTACAACACTCAGGCCTCGGAAAGCTTTCTCTCTCCCCACATTGGAAGGTTGTTTTTGTTTGTTTGTTTGTTTGTTTGTTTTTGTTTGTTAATGATTTTGCCATTTAATATGGAGCAAAACGGTTGTATCCCCCTCGGTATATACTAGCCTGCAATGAAGAAAGAACGAGACCCACATCATCAGCATGGCTCCTAGTCTTGGCATCAGTCAAGGGCGCAAAAGCATTCTGAAACAAAGCAATTTGAGGGGTGTGGTTTTTTACATTTTTCCTTTTGTAACATGTGGCTCATCAAAAAGACTAATGTTAAAAAAAAAAAATAGACACTCGAAACCAACCAAAATAGAGGGCACCCCTTTCCCCTTCCCACGACCTTTTCAGAAAACTAATGGTATGGTCAATCCTGACCTCCCTCTGCAACTCCTTATGGAAAAAAAAAAAATCTCCAGGAAACTGAACTGGATCCTCTGGTCCTGCTAGCTACGAGGACTCCAGTTTACAAATGAACAGTGGATGGATAGGACCTGGCTCATTTTATTGGCTTGTTTCTTTGATGAATAGATTAACTGATATGATGCTCCACTGGGAGAAGCTCTGTCTCCATTCAACAATGATTCTAGATGATTTACTGAATGTAGGGTTTCAGTTCTTTCCACCCCTTTCCTCAAGTGGCCTAGGTATTGAAATGGGGTTGTTGAATGCCACATTGAAGAAACAAAAGAAAAAAAAAAGGGAGGGATGCTTTTGAATGTGGCTAGGAACCTATGGATTCTGACTTTGTGGTGGAACAGGGGTGTGCTGGGTGTGATTAAGCTTGTGTAGATGTAGAGCGGTAGGCTTTTCTAATGCTGCTTGGGTTTGCATGACCCAGGGTCCAGGGAACTGTCTGACCAGAGCTTTCTAGGGCTATGAGGTGACACTTAACCATTTGCTTTGCTGAAAGTATTGGCGATTCCAGTGAATGCCTATGGGACTGACTTTTAGGAAGAGGACAGATATTCTTGACTCAAGCAGAAGACTGCATGCCAAAGCGCTGTAAGGATCGTATATGCTCTCACGCGATGGGCACGTCTTACTGGACTCAAGAGTTTTAGTGCATAGAAGTTTGAACAAATACAGGCAAATTCACCCCACCCTTGCCCCCCACTTTTCCCTCCCCCTTACCCATCCCAAAACAAAAACAAAATCCCAAACTTCCCACATCCCCAAGAAAAAAAAAAAAAGGAAAACAAGACAACCCCCAAAGCCAGCTGATTCCTTAATTTCTTATGTACTAGGCACACACACAAAGTGTGCCCTGCTGTCTACTTTCTCTCCTGGGCGACTATAACTTTAAACATGAATTGTAAAAGGGGAGGAGAGGCAGGCAGATTCTCAGCTGCCTGACAGCAGAGGCCTGGAAGTGTGCAGCTTAGCTCCTCTGAAGTCTGTGCTGGGGCTGGAACCTTGGGGCTATGTGAATGAGCAGCACGGGAGGGAAGGGAAAAAAAAGAAAAAAAAAAGTTCTGCATTGACACTGCATTCCGTTAGTGATGGATTTAATTATCAAAATGACTAATTATTCCATTAAGGTAAGTGCTCGCTAGGTGAGACTTGCAAAATTAGAAATATAATAACTTACATGCACTATATTGCCAAGAAATTAAGACATTTATCAAGTTTACTGGGAGGATTAATGTGGCATTTTAGCTGCTGTTAGCACAAGAGACAAATTCAATTAAGGGAAAGTGAGAGGACTTCAACCATCAGCCCATACTGAGGCCCCAGCTGGGGGTGGGAGGGCAGGGAGAAAGGCAGGAAGAGCAGAGGACAAGGAGGGATTGCTACTCACCATGGCACCAACGCCGTAGGTGGGGGCTGGAGCAAGTGTGTGGTGGTAGGGGTCGGCAGCATAAACTCGTCCGTAACTGCAAAGGGAAAAAAGAGGTGAGACTGGTCCATCACACACTGTTACAGTGCAATAATGCCAACATAAGATAGAGAATACCAAGATATCACGGAGGGTGTACTCATCCTAAAACATGAAACATCCCCACTCCACCACAGGGTACTAAGAAACTCAGTCTGAGCATGGTGGTCCATTTAACACAGCTGGTCATAGGGATGCATTCCATATACAGTCATGTACAAATTAATGATGGGGACCCATTCTGAGACGAGCATCCTTGTATGATTCAGTCTTTGGAACATCACAAAGTACATTTAACACAAACCAAGAAGACCTTGGTGGTAAAAATCTCAGGGACCACTGCTGTAGATGTGGCATGTGACTGAAAACACACACACACACACACACACACACATACACACACACACATACACACTTCCACATTCTCCCCCACTGTAAGGTAGCTACTTCAGAGTCTGAGGCAGGCAGGAAGCAAACACTAGAGAGACTGGTCTTGAGAATTCCAGTGTCCCAGACATAATTCAATGTTTAAGAATAGATGGGTAGATAGATGTCTTTTCATCTGATTTGACTGTCACCAAGCAAATGAGATTAGATACTTCAGAAAGAGTGTAGCATTCTGTCAGAGCAGCTCCTGCCCAATACTTCAGATTGCCAAAGAACATGACACCATGCAGGGTCTGTGAACATAGAAATCATAGCCTGGTTTGGTTTTGATCTTCTCATCCCAGTACCTCATCAATCCTTGGCCTAGTTCTTGTGATAGGAATATTTAGAGTAATGTATTTTAGTCCTACTTCCTGAACTTTTGGTTTTCCTCCTATCTCTTTTCCTTCAACTGCTATAGTGTCAGGGGCTGGCATTATAATGAAAATGAACAAGGGATGGAAAGCAAGTGTCCTGGGTTTTCAGTGAATTTCTAGAAAGGAGTGCTATACGAATCGTGAGTTTACTTCACATGCTGTAAGTGACATGGTGGACAGAACTGGTGGGGACCATTGAACCTCTCAGGGTAATGTGCACACTTGTCTCGTAATATACCCTTGCTTGTTCGACACCCTCCACAGACACCTTTCTGGAGATGGTTTGAAAAATGAGATGTTGATACTGATGAAAGCTCAGATGCGATCTGCAGATGGATAGGATAGGGTAGAATAGGGTCCCAAGAAGGTAAGTCTGCCATGGAGACTCTAGCACATGTAGTTTCTGAAGAGAGTGCTCTCTAGAGGAGAAAGAGGCAGGCACAGCAAGAACAAAGAAAGCAGGGAAGGGTGAGCTGGACACTGACTTTGATCTGACTCCGGTGGTTGCATGTTAGAGCTTTCTCCCCTGCAGGCAAGTCAGTTAGCTTTCCAATGGCCAAGTAATACAAATGCCAAGGGCACTCTCTAACCACCACACCCTCCCTGACTGTTTTCAAGAGCTTGAAGCTGAGACCCCCGTAGTTCAGTCTTCAGCACCCAGCCCAGGCTCCCTGGTCCTCTGCAGCAACACAACAACTGGTACTTCTGTTCAGACACACACTTCTCTTTGAAGCTAACAAATGGTCATCTCATGCTCCCTCTTCTTTCATTCAAATACCTTTGTGTGCCTTTGTTCATTAAAAACAAGAATTTTACCAGAGCCCACTTTCTGGGAGGAGTAGTAGATTCAAGGTCAAGGCAGGAGGATATGAGGATATGCTAACATGATGGTGGCATTTGGTTTTATTTTATTGATTTGTATTGTTTGTCAATATCTCACTTGGCAAATCTGGTTACGTTAACAGACATGGACAAGAATTCTAGGGCATATGCTAAACAATGGCCCACAGAGTTCTTCACTGTGAGTGTGAAGATGAAAGTTTAGAACAATTTGTTTTTAATTTTGAGAACAGTTTTACTGTGGCAACAAGGTACACTTTAGCCTGATAGCTGAATTGGCCAGGTGCTTGTTTTACAAACATGAGGACCTGAGTTAGAGTTGCCAAGCCCGTATCTTCAGAAATGCTAAGTGTGGTGGCATAGGGGAGATAGAAGCAGGTCGGTCCCTGGGATTTAGTGAACAGCCATCTTAGCTTACTTGACAAATTCCAGGCCAGTGAGAAATCATTAAAAACATCTCCCCCCCCCCACCAAAAAAGAAGTATGCAGCATCCTGAGGAATGGCATCTGAGGTTGTCCTCTGGCCTCCATACACAGGCACATATGTTCACATGTACCTGCACATTTATATGAGTCCACTTTTCAGCGAAAAACTGAAGGAATTGAATGAAAATCACAGCTTCCATCTTCTATTCTGCTCTAATCATTTTGGGGCTCTAACACTGGGTATAACTTTAACCTTTGCAGAAAACCCAAGGTAACAATTTGGCAACACTCTCTTTGAAGAGTGAAGAAAATACAGCAGCCCCAAAGTGTTCCTCCCAAATGAGAAGGCTCTGGTTCTCCTCAGGGTGACCTCTATCTTCAGAATACCATGGTTTTATGATGATTAATAAATTTCATTTCCACTGAGGAAAAGGGACCATGTCAGCTCTAACAGAGAGCAAGGAAGCTTCTTTTCAGATGCTAATTTCTAAACACGCTCTTGTGTGACACCACAATTTAGACACAAGGTTATTAGGGAAGATGGGGACTTGAGGAGTGCTTCTTCAGCAGACATGCCAGGCACGTAGGCACCCTAGTATCCTTAGAGCTGGCTAAGTACAGCCTGAACAAAGAGCAGCAGTTCCCAGAGACCGCCACAAGAGTGAGGGCAACATGTCTCTGGCTGTTGTGTTAGGATCTGACCTGGCATGAGATTATCTTTTACATCACCATTTCTGGTAAAACTGGACAAGATGTAATCAGACCATGAAACTCTCCTGGCCCCAGTTCCAACAAGCCAGAAATCTTAAAAAAATAGTTGCTCACTGCATTCCACATATAGTATCACTACCCTGGTAGAGGACACCCATGTTACATTAGCTCGAATTCAGCAATCTTTGCCCAACTTGAGTCTTGGGTCCATGTAATCTGTCCACCCATCCTTTGTTTTCCATTCACCCACTTGTTTCTCTGTTTGATTAAGTGTAAATCTATATAGATTGTCCCTTACCATTCTTCTGCTTAAGTGGTTCCCCATGGACTCGAGAACCATATCTTCTATCTCCCTTTCAGTCCTTAACTTGTTCCCATGCATCCCATGGTCCCTGTGTCCTAGGCACTCCAGTCTCATTTATAGGCCTTAGACACAGGCAATCTTAGGACCTGACCATTCACTCTTCTTCCACTTGAACCATTTCTTTTCAGCATTGATGTTTTGGATTAAATGTCCAAATGGTGCCTCCTCTTCTGTCCACCCTTTCTGAAGGCTACTTTCCAGATTTGTCCCTCTCCCCTTAATGCCACATGGCACACCTCTGATAATTTTATTTATTTTTCTACATGGTTGTTCACCTTTGGTAAGAAAGGCCCATGGGGCTCAGGTTATGTCTGCTCCATAGGTGTGGGTCATTGGATTAGGGGGCAAGTAAAGAGGGGGAGAGAAGCAAGATTTTAAAGATGCTTCTAAGTATACTATAATTTTTCTTAATTATATATATATATATATATATATATATATATAGAGAGAGAGAGAGAGAGAGAGAGTGAGTGTACATCACTGCACGTGTCTGAAAGTAAGAGGACAAATTGCTGCTTAGTTGGACCTCTCCTTCTACTATGTAGGTTCTGGGACTAGGGCCTTGCCTTAGTTTTACAATTCTACTAGTAGGATCTACCATTAGCTGTGTGTGTGTGTGTGTGTGTGTGTGTGTGTGTGTGTGTGTGCATCAACAGTGTTTCCTTTGGCTGTAATACCAAGATCCATATTGTGAAGGGACCAGTTTCCCTTTTGGCAGCCATAACGGCCATAATGGCCGAACACGTGCTTCTATGACCTTGTCCTAGACACTAGAAAGTCAGATGCCTGCCTCGTGACAAGGAACCAATCAGAAGTTAGCTGGTGGCGCTATGCTTTACGACCCTGGGTGTGCTTTACGGACAATCGCACAGAAATGACGCACAAAGTATAGCAACTACCCTGGGAGGGCCTATGGGCCATAACAACCAGTTGACCAATCAACACAGGGCAAGCCCTCCAAGCCTGGAGGCACACCAATCGTGAGCCTGTGCGTACCCCTAGACACTCCCCTTATGCTGTCCTATAAGATCTCTCGGGAGCCCCTAGGAGCCGTCTTTTGCTAGCCATCTGCCATTGTGGGTGGGTGAAAGACCCGAGCTAACATGGGGTTAGCTCGTTAAATTACAATAAAGCCTCGTGCAGTTTGCAGCAAGCTCTCGAATCTGCCTGGTGATTGGGGTGACCGAGAACATGGCCTGGGACCCCAGATACTTGAGTTTTTGGGGGTCTAACAATTTGATTGGCTGGCTTACCCCAGTGTGGGGGTTACAGATACATGCAGCTATGCCTAATATTTAAATGTGCACTTGGGATTCAGACTTGGATTTTTACACTTACAAAGTAAACACACTTTCTCTCACTCAGCTGTCTCCCCAGGACCATACTTTATATTCTACCAGTAGAAAGATTCTTTAGGATATACTTTCTAAGCATTGTGCTTAGCCACTAACAGGCATTCAAAATCCTTCAAGATACAGAAAAAAAAAAACAAAAACAAAAAACAGACAAACAAACAACTGGGGAATCTTAAATTGGAATGTGGAACTTTGCACCCCTGTTAGATTACAAACACTAGGCAAATGGCCACAAAGTCTAAATCCCTTATGAGAAAGTAAAACACAAGATGGATGCCTCCCTGGTTGGCTGCTTCATGATGGTTTGCAGCCACAAGGCCTCAAGTTAAAAGAAGGAAGCAACATGAGGTCTTAGGGAGAAAGCCAAGAACCTCCACATTCAATTTCTGTTTTTACACTGTCCTTGTTCTTCTAAGTCAGGCAAGAATGTGGATCCACATCTTTCCCATTCCAAAATAGTGTGTGCCTATTTGAGTTCTGCCAAGTTTGCATGTGAAAT